CCAACAGAAACAAAAACAAGGAGAGATTGTAATTTGAATAGAACTTTATAAAAATTACACATTATGTACATGCAGGGTATCCTCAAATTCTTAGTGCAGTAAAACTGCACTAAGACTTTAGGGATACCATGTATTATCTCTTTTGGGTCTCAAAACAATCTTGAAAGGTAGGTATTGCAGGTATTATTATCTTAATTTTACAAATGAGCAAAGTGAGCCTCCCAGCAATTAAGTAATTTGCCCATTTTCCTGTGACTAGTAAATGTCAGAGCAAGACTGGAAATTTCATGATAAACATTCTTTTCAGGGGTCTGAGCTTACTTAAAGGGCATTTGAAAGATATCATTGTCCTTTCAAGTCCTTGTCTAGGACTTGAAAATATGAACACCATATGCAGATCGATCATGAATATGTATTTGTATGAAAATTATGATGGAGATTTATTCACTGCATGATTATCCCCTTCCAATAGCTGAAGAAGAAATAAGGGTTTATCAGGGAAATAAGTGGCACTGTCAGGAATATCAAAGAATCAGGAGATTAGAAAGCAACTTTAGATGCCATCTTGTTTATCATATTTTTAAGAACTACAACTAATCCATCCCAGGATAACAGGTTATTGAATACCAAGGAAAGACCACAGATTCCCTCTTAACTCAACCCAATGGTAGAAATCCTTAACTTATGAGAACCCATTCATGTTCATGTGCATCTCCCTCTCTCTATCTCTCTCCCTCTCTCTGTCTCCCTCTGTCACTCTCTCCCTCCCTCCCTCTCTCTCTCTCTCTCTCTCTCTTTCTCTCTCTCTCACTTTCTCAGCATATGATCACTGGTAATCACTGGTAATCATAATTCTTTACTTCTCAAATGATTCTCGTCCGTAACTTAATAAAACTCCACTGACAGTCCATATTTCACCAAATATCTCTAAAAAGAGAATAACTGAAGCCCAAAAAGAATTTTGTGAAAAATAGTTATCATGTACATTTAAGGAACTTCAGAGCAGCCTTAGCTTCTGTGCATTTTTGGAAATGATCTGGTTCATATGTACTATAGAAATAAACATTATGCCCATTATCTCAGATGAAATTGTAGAAAGAATAATAGATTTGGTTTCTGAGGACATGACTTCAAATCCCAGCTCTGTTCCTTACTACCTAAGTGAGTGGGATAAGTCACACAATCTATTTATATCTCAAGTATCATATCTGTAAAATGAAGAATTTGTATTACTTGGTCTATGAGATTCCTTCTAGCTCTAAATCTATGATCCTCTGGTTGTTCAAACCACCATCATCTGACATTGGCTGAACTGTGGAAGTAGAAGGAGATTGGTGTTACCATGAGACAACACAAATGCCAATCATCAGGAGGTGTTCAATTATTTCACAAGATGAATCACAGAGGTTCCTTGAAGAAAAGATAACTAGAGTGGGAGTACAAAGTGGCTTTTTGAATAGGCAATGAGATATTGGATCCTACATAATGAAAGCATGCATAGGGAAAGAGATTAAAGAAGGATATGAGAGGGGCTCAACATACATTGTGCTAACTGAGAGAAAGACTGATGGGGAGCACTGAAGGCAAATCAAAGTTTAAATTTTTTAATGGAATAAAAATAGTGAAAAGACATTAAGAAGGCACCAGAGATATCATTTTACACTTACCAGATTGGCTAAAATGATAAAGGAAAGTGGTAAACATTGGAGGGAATGTGAAAAATTGGTACACTAATTCATTGTTGATAGAATTGTGAACTGATCTAACCATTTTAGAGAGCAATCTGGAATCACCAATATTATACTCTTTGACCTAGTAATACTACTATTAGGTCTATTTCCAAAGATGATTAGGGAAAAATAAAAGAACCTATATGTTCTAAAATGTTTGTAGCAGCTCTCTTTGTGGTTGCAAAGAACTGGAAATTTCAGGGATATGCATCAGTTGTGGAATGACTGAACAAATTGTGGTATATGTTTGTGATAAAATACTACTGTGCCATAAGAAATGATGAACTCAATGATCTTAGAAAAACATGAAAGGAATTATAGAAAATAATGAAGAGCAACATGAGCAGAACAAGGAAAACATTGTATACAGTAACAGCAATGTTGTATTGGGGAATAAATTTTGGAGAATAAATTATTTTAATTATTATAAATATGCAAATTAACTAAAAAAGGATATATGCAGAAAGGTTCTATCTGCATCCGTAGAAGGAACTGATAAAAAGAAGTATGTATAGAATAATTTTACATATATATATACCTATTTTTGTCTAATGATAGCCATCTCCAGGGTGGGGGTGGGAGGGAAGAAAAAAAAGGGGAAAAGAAATTTACAGGATAATTTTGTTGTATATTTGAAAGGAATAGCAAGTTGTACATAGTAGATTCACAGTTTTATGTTCAATCATTTTTATTGTACTGTTATGAAAATGATTGTTTTATTCCATAAATTAAAAATAAAATTTAAAAAGAAGGTATCAGAATGTTTCACTAAGTGTTCATTTTTCTTCATTTAGCTAAATTAAAATCTTACTTTTAAAGTGCCACTTTCAATAAGTAATTGAATAAAAAATTTTCCCATTGAGGCTGTGTTATGTTTGATGAAAAGAAGGAGTCCATGAGAGTTAGAGGTCTGAAATTTGACAGAGAAGGTATTTTGTAGCTGGAGAAACACCCCCTGAAATTTTAGATAAGAGTCCCCAAAGTACTGCATGTAGCTGAAATCTGTAGAGGCAGATAGAAAAGGAAATTTAATTTTATTTATAATTGGACACTCAATCGCTGGGTTTTCCACCTAGCATGTTAACTCAATGTATTACTTTGATAGTGACAAAATAGTTTGGCGTTCGATCATATGGGGAGTGTCAATTTTTCTTCTCTTGCTTAACTATTTATAAAAACACTCTTATTTTCCTTTAGCATATAATCCAAACCAGGAAAAGATTTGTTTTTTTCCTATGGAAGCACTGAGCACCATGATTCATTGTAAATTAATCATGGCTTATAAAAAAAAGTTTGTCTCATTTTGAGTAAAGATTGTTGATAGCTCCATTTTTAAAACTTTATTAATCTTCATAATAACTAAAACCTTTTTGACTTATCTTCCATTTCAGTATGTCACTAAAGATGGTTTGTTAAATTTATGTATTACTTTTCCTTTGACCTGTCTTTCATGGAGATATTGATGATCTATGGCACTAGTATTTGAATATCTCCTGAAAGCTAGATACTCCACCATCCAATTTTATGCTTTAAAAAAGTAAGAGGAATATGCTGTTTATATTATATATCTATAATAAAATTATTATGTATGAATGCTATTATAATGCATGAAAATATGTACATTTTGTAGAATATCTAACTTAGTATAATCCATTTTTAAACTAGAACATATAACCGAGCTGTATCTGTTCTAAGTACAATTTCTTCCCATATGAAATTTAAAGCAATTATTTTGAGTTTCACAATGAACTTATATTAAATTTTAAAGCGATAATTTGTCAAAACTCAAAACAATATTCCTTTTTCAACATTTTATTGATATTACCTTCATTTACAAACATATTCCTTCTTCCATTACCAATGGAGTAATCTCTTATAATAAAGGGGTAAAAGGGGGAAATGAATAATACTAACCAACATATCAACCTAATCTGAAATTATTTGCAGTGTTCCATACCCATTAGTCCTCCACCTCTACAAATCAAGTCAAATCAATAGCATTTATTTAGTAGTTACTATGGGCCGGGCACTGTGCTAAGTGCTATAGACACAATGAAAGGCAACAAAACAAAACAAAACAAAACAAAAAACCTGTCACTGTTCTCAAGGAGCTCACATTCAAATGGTAGAGACAAAACAAATAATTATGAAGATACATGATATAATTATGGTAGTATAACATGATATAACAATATGTACTTTTTTTTCTTTTTAGACAATTGGGGTTAAGTGACTTGCCCAGGGTCACATAGCCAGTAGGTGTCAAGTGTTTGGTCTGAGGCTGGATTTGAATATAGGTCCTCCTGACTTCAGAGCCAGTGCTCTATCCACTGTGCCACCTAGCTGCCCCATGATATAACAATATATGATGTGATATAATGTAATATAGTAAAGTACAGTGATATACAATATGATGCAATACAGTTTAACATAATATAATGTAAATTGGAAGTAATTGTAGAGAGAATACATTGGCATTGTGGGTGAACTAAAAAATCTTGCAGAATGTGAGATTTTAACTGATTTTGATAAAAGTCAGAGAAGTCAGGAAGTAGAGGCCAGAATGGAGAATATTCTAGGTCTGAGAGTATCCAATAAAATGTATTTGGTGATGGAACATTCTACTTGAGGAATAGCAAGGAGATCAGTACCATTGAATCATAGAGCATGTGGAGAGAAGTAAAGGGTAAGAAGATTAGAATGGTAGAAAAGATCCAGGGAGTAAAGACCTTTAAAAGACAAAGAGAAGATTTTATATTTGATCCTGGAAATGATCTGGAGCCAGTACAATTTATTGGGTAGGGAGATGACATGCTCAGACCTGCTCTTTAAGAAGATAAATTTGGTCATTGCGTTGAATGGGGAAAGACCAACTATAAGGCTACTACAATAGTGTGATGCAATGAGGCAATAGTCTAAGAGGAGAAAAAGGGCATATAGAAGAGATATTGTGATGGCAGAATCAAAAGAAGCTGGAAATGGACTGGATGCAACAAGTGAGAGTGAGAATGAGGTGTCAAGGATGACATGGAGGTTATGGACTTGGGTTACTGGGAAGATACTAATATGCTTGGCAGTAATAGGGGAATTGGGAAGAAATTCTTGGGAAAAAATAATGAGTTTAGTTTTGAATATGACAAGTTTAAGATGTCTGTAGGACATCTACTTTGAAATGTTCAATGAGCAGATGGAGATATGAGGCTGGAGTAGGAAAAAGGTTATGGCTGAATAAATCTGAAAGCCACCTACAAAATACTGATAATTGAATCCATGGAAGCTGATGAGATCACTGAGCAAGAAGAAGGCCTAGTGTTAGGGGCGGTCGGCCCTAGACGCCTGAGCGGATAGGAACCTCCCTGGGAGTGAGAGCCCCCAATCCCAGAAAGACACGGCTCCCTACACGGGGTACGTGTAAGGATGGGATTGGGCGAGACTCTTTGCTCCATACAGGTGGCAGGTTTCGCCCTCGGGGCGGATTGGGGTGGCCACCCGGAAGACAGACCCTATATAGACCAACGCCCCAGCTTGCTCGGGGGATTCCTCCGCAATTAATAAAACATATGCCTCCCGAAGCAGTGTCTGACTGAGTCCCTGCCTGCCATCCCCCGGGGAGGGAATCCGGAGACGTCCGAAGCGGAACCCACCGAGAGGAGCTCGCTCGGGGTCCGGCAATAGAACCGGACAGCTGGCGCCTGAACAGGGACCTCCGTCCCCGCCGAGCGAGGTAAGCCCCCTTAGCTAAGAGGGGAAGAGTCAGACGCCCTAGGTTTACGGGGCACCTAGAAGTAGACATGGGAAACAGAGTAGTGAAACAGTTTAAGCCGGAGGATACGGGAGTATTAGCATGTCAGATCTTTACGTTGTGTAAGAGTTCAGGCATAAAAATACATATAAAGGAGTGCAGGGCGTGGGTGGAAAAGATCCTGAAAGTCTCCCCTTGGATCGCCCATACAGGGGTAGGTCTAACGGAATGGCAAGTAGTGGGCACCCAAATGTCCTCTTTTCACCACGTGGATCCCGAGTACTTGATACCCCGGGATTTCACTTTGTACGCCACAGTGGCAGCTGCTCTGAAGCCCGAACCACCTCCGTGCCTAGTGCCACAAGAAGTACAGACGGGGGCCTCACTATGCGGGGAGGGGGAATGGCCACCCCCCCCGGGCCCGGAGGGCCTAGAAGGGTTGGAGGAGGGACCCCCTATTTATCCATGGCGAGAGATGCGGGCGCTGCAGATCATAGACAAGCCCCACGCGCCGGCCGCGGCTGCGCTCAAAAACGAAAGTAACACCGAAGAGCCGCTGGCTGTAGAAAAATCGTGCCGCGGGGCCCGCAGCTGCTGTGGCTCTCAGGCTAAGACACCACCAGTACCGGGGGCCCCCTCAGGCCCTCATCGATCTCGGCTCCATCAGGCCATTCATACCGCTTTGGAGCGAGGTGAGGCAGTAGATGAGGAGGACTTAGATCTGTTAACACAAGCTCCCTCCGCCTTCCCCGTGTTTGTACAAGTGGAGAATGGTCAGACAGTCCGAGTACGTCGACCTCTGCCTTACAAATTTATAAAGGACCTTAGGGAGGCTGTAAAGTCTCATGGTGCGGGCTCAGCCTATGTCAAACGACTACTCGCCTCCTCAGTAACAGTAGCAGCGTGGCTCCCAGGTGACTGGGAGGAGACCATGCAGGCTATACTAGATCCGGCTCTTTTCACAGCCTGGGCTGCCTACTGGCGCCGTGAGGCCAAACTTGAGGCAGAACGGCTAGCCCCAGATAACATTGATGAAACCATTAATCAACTGACAGGGTTTGGGGAGTACACAGCTATAGACGCACAATTGCGGTTGCCAGAGGAGGTGATAGCGGGAGTACAACGCTGTGGCCTCGGCGCCCTCGGAAAACTGGCCAAGGGTACCGCTCTCCCCCTCCAACAACTAAAACAGAGGGCCCAGGAAACTGCCTTACAATTTATAAGCAGGGTGCAGACCACGGCAGAGGGGAAGTTTGGCGGTGGGCCCGCCACCCAACAATTGATCATCCAGCTAGTTAAGGGAGGGCTCACCCACTCTAAGGGCATCCTGGCGACCCTACCAGCTGACCCCTCACTGGAAGAAATAATTGACAAGGCTCTGGATGAGGGCCCCCCTCAAGACTCATTACAAACGTCAATTCAGACTTTAACAGAGGTGATGTTAGCCAGGGAGAAAGGGGGAAAAGGAGAGCGGCAGGGAAAATGCTACAGCTGTGGAAAGTCCGGGCACTTTCAATCTGAGTGCCGTAGCAAAGACAAACGTTGTATAAAGTGCTTTGTTTGCGGACACCCGGGACACATAGCGAAGCACTGTAGGATTAAGGGACTAGTCAAGGGGACCAGGCAAGGGCCGGGAAACGGAGACTGGAGCCGGAAAACCGAGGGACCGGCTCCGAGAACCACTTCTTAAATCCCTCGGCGGTTCTGACTTTGAGAGAAGGGAAGGAGTTGGAACCATGGACCACTACATCGGCTGAAGTACCCCCTAGAGATTGGCCACGTCTAATCATAGGCACCGCCCAAGCGCCACAAATTATTGTACATACTCAGGTGCTGAGCCCCCGTCAGACCACTATAACCCTTACCAACCCCCATGCATTCCCGATTCCCCTAAAAGAAGGAGAGCCCATTGCCACCGCCATCTCACTCCCCTGGCTTGATAAGAATTGGCAGGAACCGCAATACCGAAACACTTTTGTAGCTTGGACCCAAGCGATAACTACAGGCAGACCCACCATAGTGGTGGAGGTGGAAGGAAAGAGAATAAGAGGGCTCGTAGATACCGGGGCGGACGTCTCAGTCGTAGCGATGGAAGATTGGGACAGGAATTGGGAACTTTCAGAGGAGGAACTTAACCTCACAGGGGTTTCGGGGGGAACCCGAGCCAAAAAGTCCCGTAGATTCCTGAAATGGAGTCACGAGGGACAGTCAGGGAGATTCCGCCCCCTGTGCCTCCCCATCCCCACGTCATTATGGGGAAGAGATGTGTTGTCCGCCATGGGCGTCACCATTACCACCGACGCTCCGGAAAACCCCTGAGGGCCGCTGGTGGGCCGACACCCATCGCCCTAACATGGCGCACTACTGAACCCGTTTGGGTGGATCAGTGGCCCCTTACCAAGAACAAATTACAGGCCTTAGAAGAAATAGTAAGTGATCTACTTAAAGCCCAACACATTGAGCCCTCCACTAGCTCTTGGAACTCACCAATCTTTGTCATTCAAAAGAAGTCAGGGAAATGGAGAATGCTCATGGATCTGAGGAGGGTAAATGCAGTCTTAGAGCCCATGGGGGCCACCCAACCCGGACTACCAACCCCAGCCGCAGTGCCTAAGGGGTGGCCCTTAGTAGTCATTGATATTAAAGACTGCTTCTATAGCATCCCCTTGCACCCCAATGATTGTGAGCATTTCGCCTTTAGTGTTCCTTCCATAAATTATCAGGAACCCCACAAGAGATATCAATTCAAAGTCCTTCCACAAGGAATGGCCAACAGTCCCACCCTATGCCAGATATTCGTAGCGCGCATACTGGCACCAGTCCGGAAGAGACACAAAGGGGCTTTGATCATCCATTACATGGATGATATCCTAGTGGCCGCACCTATCAAACCCGAGGTGTCAGAGTTGCTGGGCCAACTTACTGCTGCCCTGGCCGAACAAGGTTTGAAGGTTGCTCCGGAGAAGATACAAACTGGGCCCCCATATCACTATTTAGGGTACGAGGTCTGGGAGGACAGGGTGAGCAAGCTCCCAAACATTGACACCTCCCAGGTACGTACCCTTAATGACTTTCAAAGGCTAATTGGCGCCATTCAATGGCTCAGGAACACTGCCCCCATTACCAATAACCTCATGAGACCGTTATATAATATCCTCAAAGGGGCCTCCCAGCTCACCTCCCCACGCACGTGGTCCCCCGAAGCCCTAGAGGCCATGCGCCACATTCAAGAGATAGTGAAGGAAGCCACTGTCAGGAGGGTAGATGTCACACTGCCCTTGTATGTCACCTTGGTACACCACCATACCTTGGGGCGGGCTGCCGTTATATTCCAGGTCACGGGACCACTTCAGTGGGTCCATGCGGACCGCCCAAAAGGGAGCCTACCCAGTCGCCTTGAGGCGGATGGCCTCCTCTTACTCAAAGCCTCCTCCCTGGCACGGGTGCTTAGTGGCCAAGAACCACAACTGCTCCTCACCCAGCCCCTGCCTGCGCTACAACAACTCGCCCAGGACAGCGAACCTTGGGCTGTCTTACTCACCTCACTACCGGTTACGCAGGGCACCTTACCCCCATCTATGAGGGGGTGGGTCCAGCTGCCCCTCCGCTACCCTTCCAACCCGGTGATGAAAAACCCCGTTCTGGGGTGCAATGTCTTCACTGATGCAACAAAGAAGAATAAGGCTTCCATTTATATCCCCGATAAGCGCCTTCTCAAAGTTCTCCACACCCCCTACACTTCTGCACAGAAAAATGAACTCTTTGCGGTACGGGTGGCGCTCGCTCTCTGTGCCCAAGAACCCTTTAACTTGGTTACTGATAGTTATTATTGCTACTTTGCATTACAACACCTAGCTCTTGCAGATCTGTCCGTTTCCACCTCCGCAATTAGGGAGTTGTTTCAGGATATTCAGGCCTTGCTATTATGCCGTGTACACCCTCTTTATGTACTCTACGTTCGGTCTCATCAGTCCGCCAGTGGCCCCATTTTCTCTGGTAATGATATCGCGGATTCTGCCCTCCAAGCTAATCCATTATTCCTTATGCAGGTGGACCCTCAACAAGCCCATCATGTTTTCCATTTACCTGCAAAAATGCTAGTTCGCCTTTATGGCATCACCAGGGAAGAAGCACGCCGCATAGTACAGCAATGCCGCGCCTGTGTCCCCTTCCGGCCCCCCCCCAGCCAGGCTCCCAGCAACCCCCGGGGCCTCGCACCCAATCAGATTTGGCAGATGGATGTAACCCATTTCCACTCTTCCCTCACACATGTTTGTGTTGACACCTTCTCGGGATTAATAATGGCGTCCCTCCAACCTGGGGAGGCAGCCCGGCATGTGATCGCTCACTGCCTTCACTGTTTTGCCAGTCAGGGCCTCCCGCAGGTTATCAAAACCGACAATGGCCCTGCATATGCTTCCTCCGCTTTCCGATTATTTTGCCTTCGCTTTGGCATTCGGCACATTGCGGGCCTTCCTTACAACCCGACTGGGCAAGCCATCGTAGAACGGGCCAATGGGTCCCTCAAACGCACCCTTATTAAACAAAAAGGGGGAGTGCCAGGGAGGCTCACTGCCGCCCAACTGGCTCAAGCAGTGTTTACGAGGAACTTTTTAATTGAAGGAGAAGACCACATTACCCCTGCCATGAAACAATTGCTCGTGTCCTCAGAAAGTCCACCAGCGCTTCCGCTGGAGACACCAGGTGCAAAGGAATGGGTCACAGTCTGGTGGAAAGACCCTGAAGGCCGGTGGCACAGCCCAAATAGGGTCCTAATAAGGGGAAAGGGGTTTATTTGTATCCAAACAGATCGTGGTCCCCAGTGGCTACCTACGAAAAACACAAGATTGTGCACCGACGAACCGACGAAGAAGGAGACACCGTCAAAAGAGGAGGCGTCGGAAGAACCGCACGGAAAAGAAAAGGAGAATGGATAAGTTGATGTTGCTCCTGGGGCTGCTTGGCAGCCTCCAGGTAACGTCCGGGGCCCATATTCCCCTACTCCGAACCACCAACTCCACACCACCCTATGTGTATTGGACAGTCATCCCAGGGTTTCCCCATGCGGCACCAGCGACATGGGTGGGTGACCCGGTGCCCCTGAGGTTGGCGGGATCAGGCTCCCTGGTCCTGGGCGGCCATAGCAGCCTTGGCCCAGTGGTCGCCAGGGTACTTAATAAGACAGTTACCTGGGAATCAAAGCATCTCCCCATATGCCTGACCAAGGCTGTCTCCGACCCGTGGTGTGCCCAGGTACAGAACATGACCATCAGAGAGATGCCACACGGGCCCCACTCCAACCTTGGTCAGGGGGATTTCTTACATATGTGGGCCATTGCAGCTAAGAATAGATCGGCAGCCTTCCAGCGCTTGCTGCAGGCTGCTGGGAGCAATTGCTCTGGGTCCAATAAGTCCAGGCCGGATGTCCCATGTAACAGGAAGGACTGGCTTAATGCCACCGGCTCACTCTGTGAGAACAGTGACCCTCCATCCTCCCCATTACCCCCTTGTCATCCCACTCCTAATATGTTTGATGTTATGCAAGTATGTTCTACAGGGCATCTGGTGTGGGGACCCGAGTTTAACACAACATCGAAAACTGAGGTGTACTTCATGGATGGATTCCCCGGACCCTACTTTCCTGCCCCCGTACCACACGTGCTGCATAACGCCACCCTGCAGACGCAACTCCACCTGTGGAAGGCCGCCGCTGCTTTCGGAGAGGTCATCCACATGACGGACAATTCCGCCCCTTTAGCGGATAATGCCACGATCAACCGAGCGTGGTTTGACCGCCTCTTTAAAGAAGGATACACATGCACCGAACACCTTCACAAGGGACACTGCAACAACTTCACAATTCATACACAAACTGTCCGAAATATGGACATGTTCCTCCTCTGTGAGAATGCCACCATAACTAACACCTCCCTTGGGCTTAACGTGACTTGCCCAAATGGGGGGAAGCTCACCAACACACTCATGTCCATCAACATAACTAATGAGACCCGGGTGTTCGTGCTCACGACACCCCCTCTGACCTTCTTGCCGGTAGGAACGGACAAGCCTTTTGCCGACTCGGATTTCTTTCGGGCTGTCCTGAACCGGGGTAAGAGGGGCTTTGAAGTGACTGCTGTGGACTTCATTGGGCTAGTGGCCAGTCTGATAGAACAAGTGGAGATTAGCACCCTCTACAAGCGAGTAGGCCTAGTCGAAGATAATCTTAGGGATTTTATGCAGCTCACAACCAAGGCCTGGATTGCCCAACAAGACATTAATAAATTGGTGACCATAGAATTGTCGGCCCTTACATCGGCCGTGCAAGCCTTAGCCACCCTCATACAGGTTAACTCCGTGCTAGAGGGCCTCCCTTGCCATCATGTACTACCCAGGCCAATGTGCATGACGGCCGCCGTGCACAACGCATCCAGGGAGCTGGATGAGGCAATCCGGACCTTGAATGAGCATAGCAATGTGTCTGACTATCTCAGACGCCTAGAAGATATAGTACTACAGATAAAGAATGAGACAGACCAATATAAGCAGCAGATACAAAAGGACCATGGCATTCTCCCCGAGTGGTTTAACCAGCTTGAATTGTCTAATTGGCTTAATTATGTACTGAGTATGGGAAGCATGGTTTTCTTTCTCTTGGTCATGTGTATATGCCTCCCCTGCTTGCTATCTTACGTGGTACGGCTTTGGCGTATGGTCTTAGAGCAAGTAAAAGCGGATATATTCCTGCGTAAACAAAAAGGGGGAGTTGTTAGGGGCGGTCGGCCCTAGACGCCTGAGCGGATAGGAACCTCCCTGGGAGTGAGAGCCCCCAATCCCAGAAAGACACGGCTCCCTACACGGGGTACGTGTAAGGATGGGATTGGGCGAGACTCTTTGCTCCATACAGGTGGCAGGTTTCGCCCTCGGGGCGGATTGGGGTGGCCACCCGGAAGACAGACCCTATATAGACCAACGCCCCAGCTTGCTCGGGGGATTCCTCCGCAATTAATAAAACATATGCCTCCCGAAGCAGTGTCTGACTGAGTCCCTGCCCGCCATCCCCCGGGGAGGGAATCCGGAGACGTCCGAAGCGGAACCCACCGAGAGGAGCTCGCTCGGGGTCCGGCAATAGAACCGGACAGCCTAGAACAAAGCCTTAAGAGAAACACCCAGATAATGAGCATGGTCTGTCCCAAGATCCCGCAAAGGAGATTGAGTTGTCATCAGTCAATTAAAAGAACGAGGAGAGAGCAGTGTCATGAAAACCTAGAGAGGGTATACAGGAAAATATGGTGACTGATTATGCCAAAGGATGCTGAGAGGTCAGGAGTAATGCAAATTGAGAAAAGACCATTAGATTTGGAAATTAAGAAATCAGTGATAATTTCGAAAAGAGTGGTTTCAGCTGAATAATAAAGTCAGGAGCTAGGCTACAGAGAGTTAAGAATAGAGTAACAGAAAAGGAAACTGAGCCACAGATTAGGGATGAATTTCTTGAAGAGTTTAGCCTTTGCAAAGCAAGGGAAGCAGATAAATTCCCTGATCTCTTCTTCAGGGCCACGCTTGGTCAATATTATTATACAACATTCAGCTTCATTTTGTTGTTGTTATTGTCTCCATTTAAGATGTTGTAGTTACTATGCAATTGTTTTCTTATGTCTACTTACTTCTTCACATCAGTCCATATAAGTTTTCAGATGCTTAATATTTTGCATTTACTGTGTCTCATAGCACAATAATATTCCAATATATTCATGTCCTCTGACACTGCCACCACTCTAGTGTAGGCCCTCATTACCTCATGCCTAGATTGTTACAAGAGCTGTCTAGTGGGTCTGCCTGCCTGAAGTCCCTGCCCATTCTGATCTATCCTTTATCCAGTCACTAAAGAGATTATCCTAAAGCACCTTCCAATCATCTAATTCCCAACCTCCCTCCCCTAACTCCACCCCCCACCAATGGACTCCAGCAACTTCCAGTAGGATTTTCTAGGATTGAATTTTAAAAAATGCTCTGTTTGACATTGACAGCCATTCAAGACCTAGCCCCCTCCTATCTTTCTAATCTTTTAACCTTACTCCCTTACAATTAACTCTTTGATGTTAGGGCATTGGCTTATTGGCTGTTTCATGAACAGGACATTCCATCTCTCTACTTCAGGCATTTTCTCTGCCTGTTCCTAATGCCTAGAAGGTTCTCCCTCCTCTCCAACCTATTGACTTCAATGACTTCCCTTAAGTGCCAATTATATATCTTCTTTTACTGGAAGCTTTCCCCAATCCATTTTAATTCCAATGCCTTATCATTCATATATATATACACATACATATATACATATATAAATCTTCCTTTGTGTAGAAAAAAAATTATGATTTTCTACAGCCATATATATACACTAGCTGGCACATGTATGTAGTGTTTGTTGATTTGTTAGTAATTAAGTTGGACTGACTTAGGAGGTCTTACCTTGAAGTGAAAATTTCAATATTATATTTTCATTTCAGCTTATATCATTTTTTATTAGTATATATTATTTTCCCCAATGCTTTTCAGAATTAGTATTTGTCAGTTTTTATCATGCAATAATACTGCATTATATCAATACATCACAATTTGTTCATTCATTCCTAATCAATGGTCACCTACTTTGTTTCTAGTTTTTTGCCATCACACACACACACACACACACACACATTTCTATAAATAATTTGCCGCAGTGAGAGGAACATTTCTTTCTTACTTTCTTATCTTTGGAATGTTTGCCCAGTAGTAGGTTTACTGGATCAAAAGGGATGAACAGTTAAATTCTTTTCTTACATAATTTTAAATTGTCTTCCATAAGAGTTGGACCAATTAAAAGCTTGATAAACCATATATTATTTAATACTACCTCTTCAATTACAACAATTTAATTTGATTGTTATTTGAACTATGGCTTTCAAGGTAAAGCTCAGTAGAATTTTATATTCCATTGAAAATGCTATGGATAATATAGACAAACACAGTGTTTAAAAAGTACTCATAGAGGGGGAAGCTGAGTGGCACTGTGGGTAGAGCACCAGCCCTTGAGTCAGAAAGATCTGAGTTCAAATTCGACCTCAGACACAACACTTACTAGCTGTGTTACCTGTGGCAAATCACTTAACCCCAATTCCCTCACAAAAAAAAAAAAAAGTTCCCATAGAATTTAATGTCCTTTTAATGAGGGGTTGTCTTTCATTTAGTCTTTGGACCACTATTGCCAAGTGGTATGATTTGTACATTGAAGAGGTTTAATAAGATACTTCTTGAATCAAATAAAATTTGTATGAAAATTGTGTGTATGTAAAGACACAAAACACTCAGTAAACAACTTTTAGAATAACCTATCATATCTTGGCAAAAGAAGGGAGCAAACTTGAATCTCTCAAACCATTTAACAAAAGTAGGGGAGTCAGCTATTCAATGGCTATCATTCCTATTAACCACTGTAATATTATGGCATTGCTGATAGACAACAAATTATTTTATTGATTAGTCTAAACATCTTGATTATCAAAGTGGTCATATATATAGACTTTGTCAATGTTTCCTAAGGTCACATGTCTCATTTAACTTATTAAGGTACTCTGTGAAGTTATAACAGAAATAGATACAGTTTTTCCCCATAAATAGGATTTATTTATATAATTCTCATGTCTAACATAACAAGGAGTAATATAAATAACAAAATAAACGACAATAACCATGAAAAACTACAGCAGTGTGAAGTCCAAAGATGTCTCTAATACTCTGAATGATTTGTGAACTCATCATTGTGGATATTCCATCAAACTCAGATATCAAGCCACCACATTCCACTTATGTCTATATCTGTCCATAATTTTTTTCCCATGGGGGGCAGAATTCTACCCCCATGAAACATTAGGAAAGAAAAAAGATAATTAATGGTGGAAAGGTTTCCAGAATGATTGGAGGAGAGAAGTGAAAATACTTAGAAAAGCTTAAATAAAAGTAGTACATTTTGAATAAAATGAACAAAATATGAAAGGAGTAGAAGGGTATGATTAAATAAATACAGGGAAAAGAGAGTGATAGGGCGAGAGGGTGGGTACCTATTATTTCCTCAAAGGTAGAGGATGAAGTCCGTGTTATAGAGGTTAGGAAGCAGTATTGAATGTAAATGTGTAATAGGAGATAAAGGGAGCTTTGTGTAAGGTAGTAGTTTTCAAACTTTTTGGTCTCAGGTCTTCTTTTACACTCTTAAACTTGGATTGAAGACCAAGGCCCCTGCCCCATCAAGAGTTTTTGTTTATGTTAGTTATATCTACAAATATTTACAATATTAGAAAATAAAAAATCTTGGTATTATTATGGAAATAGTTTTGAATTTATCAAACCCCTGAAGGGTCTCAGAGACCCAAAGAATGGCTAGATCACAGTTTGACAACTATTAATATAGGGGATGTGGCATGTAGTAAGACCTCAAAATCCAGTACCAGAATTTTAAATAGGGTTTGAGAAATTGAGAGCTATTGCCAGAATCTAAAAAGGAGACTGGTTTTTAGAGGAAATGCTTAGGGAAGCTAATTCTTTCTATTTTGTGTAGGATTTATTTGGTGAAGTATGGTGAAAACATCTTATTTCTTATGTTGAAAAAGTTAAATTCTGGTAAGCCTTTTCTTATGAAAAGGAGATACATGCCCTTTAAAAGTTACTTAATGCTTTCTGTGATGGTTGCCATGGAGATTACTGAATGCAAAATGTAGAACATTATTAAAAATAAACTATTAATCAAGGCAAGAGAGACAGAAGGAGGGAGGAAGTGGAAGAGAAGGAGGGAGACATGGGGGGAACCCTTCATGAGAACAAAAACTTCTCTTGAGGGGAACTAATTTGTTAAACAATGCAAAGGACACAAGAATATTTAAGGCTGGTGAAACTGTAACAATTCTGAAGTATTGAACAAGCACCAGGAAGGTCAAACTTCAAGTCACTTAAATTCAATTAAGTTCAACAAAGATTTATTAAGTACCTATTATATTCCTTACCTGGTATTAGGGAATTTTCTGCTAAGTTCATTCATTTACAAAATGAAAGGTTTCAATTGTATAATTTTGAGTTCTTCTGACTCCAAAACCAGTATATTACCAAATGTTTTCTGGCTTTGGGCAAAAAACTGTAGAAATGGATTCCTGATAGAATCAGAAGCACTAGGATAGTTCAAAAGAATGCTAAAAGAAGATGTCAGGATACTTTGTTCTTAATTCAGGCAAGCCCTGAATAGATAACAGTGAAATCAAATTTAGAATCTGAGTCATTGTTCCAGTCCCAGCTCTGCCAATTATGTCAGTGCAACTTTGGACTAAACACTTAATCACTCTAAGCCTTAGTTCCATCATTTTCAAAATGGGTATAACAATCTATGCAATACTTTTCTCACAGAAATGTTGTGAAGATCAAAGTGTATGTGTGTGTGTAGAGACAGAAAG